TTGGGGCACGGCCACCCCGCGGCCTCCTCGCAGGGGCCCGCGCTCGCCGTCGGGGGTGCTGTGGTGTCCTCTCTCCTCGCAGGCTGAAGTGGAGGAAACCCTCAGGAGGGTGCAAGCCCACAAAGGGGTCGCTGCGACTGTCGTTGTAAACGCCGAAGGTAAAACGTCGTCCTCTGCTTTCTCCGAGTGACAAACGTGGCAGCGGCAATGAGACCCTTAAGCACAGAACCGCGGACTGTGAGGCGCTAGCGCCGTGGGCCGGCCGTGCTTGATGAAGGGGTCGCGATTTTCAAGAATGTTTCATCTTAAGACACAACCACGTGTTTTGTGGCCGTTTCTTGAAGCTCTCCCTATAATGTAGTTTTTCATTCAAGTTAATAGCAGAAAAGTCAAGAGCCTTGACAGAAGTCTTCTCTGAAGAAATAACGAGAAGCATCATAATCTTCATTTAACTTAGGGAGTTAGGTGTTGTTACTTGTCCCCCTTGTTTAACTAAAGTATGTTTTTCAGAACCGAATCTTGAACGTTTCTTGGTAGGTTACAGAAAGGGAGCGTGCGTGGCACTAAGCTCTTGCTTTTGTAGGCAATTTTTCAGTCCAGAATTCTTTGTATGTGCAAGGAAGCTCACTAGCACTTCACTCTCCCCCTTGCCCTCTGAAAAGTTACAATAAAACAAAAATGTCAGGAGAAAATGGTCTATTAAACAAAGCTGGTGTTATACTGTGGGAGCCATTCCTTGGCCCTGCTAAATACTCACAAGTTCTTTAGACTGAATTAGGGGGTGTTGTCATAGGAGGAAGAGCAAGTTTTATGTCAGGCCAGCTTTGCCTGCGATCTTGAAGACTGCAAGCCAAAAGCAAAACTGGTCAGAGAAATCAGTTTTCATAAGCTAGGCTTCTCAGGTTTTTAATAGTTTTAATCATTCCTTTACAAAAACCACAATTCAGTCAATTTACCTTGCCCATAATTTAGCTGAACTCCTTCACTTTTATAATCCCCCTCCCCCAAATCCATTGCACTAGCAGCAGTTTAGCAACAAGAGGAAACAACACTAAGAAGGAAGCCGAAATGTTATTTAGTCTTTAGGAAATGTGGGCAATTTAATTTGTGTGCCTCGACCCGTTAAGTAAAATGTGCCTCTGCACACAGGACAGATGATGAAAGAAGTGCATAGCCCGGCAAATAGAAACTGAAAAGCTGTGCTTTTCAGAAACAAAACCACGTGCTGGTGTCTAGATATGGCTGCTCACTCAGCTGAAATGCGGTCTGGTTGCAGAACAAGTACTGCTTCAGCCACGTCTGTACTCCGATTCAGTCAATAGAATGTGACTTGATCCAGTGGACTAAGCTGCAAACGAGAAGTGAACAAATTCAAGCACTTAAGACAACACAAATGATCCTTTTTGAGCTTGCAGGGTCATACATTTCTCAAGGAAAAAGCACCAATGTAATCAATTAGGAAAGTAACTCCGTTTTCTTGCATCCTGTCCCTTGGAACAGTTGACTCCTCGGCACAATGTTGCTCGCGTATGCTTTCCCAATCACGGGTACTACTGCCGTCCATCTTCACCTTGGCCATTCCACGGTGTTAAGGGAAAGCTCAGCTATAGCTGTGCGGAGTTAGGACAACAGCATGCCTTTTAAAAGGCTCTTTTGGATTCCTTCTGTCTCGATTTTGATTTGCAGAGAAGGAAGAACATTCCACCTCCCTTTTTTTGCATCTTAGACTATTCATATCAAGGTATAAAGTGCCCCCCCCCATCCTGTTCAAACTTGCTCATCATCACAAACCTGTAGAACATGTGGCCAGACTGAAGCCAACAGACAAACTAGTGCAGGAATTTTGGGTTTAGTTTATAATTTAGAAATGTTTCAACACCAGATGTGAGTCTGTACTCCATGAGGATGCATTCCAGGTACCAAGAAGTTAGATTCCACAAACTAATCAAAGTAGGTGCATAGTTGTAAGGTTTTTTATCATCTCCAAATGTGCGTAATTAGCACTGGTCAATTTAGTTACTTCAAATCTTAGTGTAGAAAATGAAATTTAATTTCTTTCTATCCTGAAACATTTGTTAACAAGTGTACAACTTAAATTAATCACAGTAAAAATACTTGAACCAGTGGTGCAGTAGTGAGATTTCTTAGGCTGTTCAGGTTCCCTAAGCTGAAACCCTCTGTCCTTCACTAGCACCAACAGTTGTCTTTTATTAAGAGTTTTGTAATAGTGTAGGTCGGTACACTGAGGTGTAATTGCATGCAGGTGAAATACCAAATTAAAGATTCCTGATACAAACACTGTCATTTATTTTAACGCTCAAAGTTGATTCGTTATTGAAAGCTAAGCTAAGTGTGCCTTGTTTATGTGGAAAATCTCATGAACGGTGTGATCCTTCTCAGCTGTGAAGGATAGCAACTACAGCATTTCTAATGAAGGATTTATTTGCCTTTCTCTAATTTGGGTGGCAGAGGCAAAGACAGTTTGTCCTAAAGTAAGCACAGCTCAGCTTTAATCTGAGAATGTCACTAGTGTCAACTCATTTTCATGTTATTATTAGACCTTGGAGGATCATTTAACATTTACCATTTTCATTAAAAGTGCTGTATTTGTTGAAGCGATCTTTTACATACAAGGTCATATAAACTTGACACTAATTCATGGCTGCTTTTAAGTGACTAACTATTTAATGCTGTGATTATATAGATACTCTCGTGCTAATGCAGTGCTTGGGAACACCTGCTTGTTCCCATTAAAACACCCGTTTCAATCTCTGTGTAATGACCATTGGACACAAAGGATGTACTGGGGCATTCTATACACTTCCCTCGCTGCACATCCTACCACGGCAGAATTATTCCTCCAGTGACGGCACAGATTTCAAGCGATTTGAGTAACGCCTTCCTAGGAAAATTACCGAATAGTCTAATACCTGAGGGAGTTCTATTATTTCTTTTACTCCTTTGCCTCTAACACTTTACCTGGCATTCACTATTTTTGCACGTTAATTCTTCTTTGATAATCAAACTCTTCAACTGAAGCCATATCGCTCTTCTTTGATTCCTGTCCTCTCCATCTGGAAGACTCAATACAAATGTACACAAAGAGAGAATTGCCTTGCCAGCTTTTAATCTATTGTCTTTGTTAGTAGGTCAAATATCTTTTTTTATTAGTGAAAAAAGCTTATTAAAGCCAAACACTTGTAGAATTACTGTGAACTTTGTTTTTAGTTTGACCTGGTAGCCCATTAATATGAAAGCACAATTTGACAAATGATTGATAAACCATGATCCGTTAAATCATCAAAAATTAATCTTGACTTATGTGGTGATATTTTTAATAGTTGGGATCAATACACTGTGTACTACCAATTGTCAATACTTTGCCGCTAATCAGAAGACGTTGTTCCAAGGGTGGTTTTGTTTGCCAAAGGCAAACATGCCACTTCTGCCCCTTAATTACTCTTGGTATTTCACTTGGAATGTGTAATTTCTATCACTGCACGTGCCAAATGCTGCAGTTAAAGTGTGGGTTAGATTCGTGCAGCCAAGATCCAAACTTGGTGACGGTGTTTAACCTGATGAAGCACCGTAACTGGTTAAGTGCTGCAGAATGCAATTCGATAGGTATTTAAGAGTCTTAAACAGCAATTAGGCTCTTCAAAAGTTTCATAAGACAGCTCAAATGTTTAATTGCCACTGTTTAATATAAATTATACTTTTAAAAGCATATAGATATGTGAAATCGATGTAACTCCTTTCTGCTGCAAAACAGAAAAAACTGTGAAATCCTTGTTTTTTGTCTTATGATCTGCTGTATATGAAGAATATGCAACTTACCTGAATTATTATTAAAAAGATATTTGTTTGCAGGAATTCCAATAAGAACAACTCTTGATAATTCTACGACAGTCCAGTATGCAGGTCTTCTTCATCAGCTCACCATGAAAGCTAGGAGCACAGTGAGAGATATCGATCCTCAGAATGATCTCACCTTTCTTAGGATCAGATCAAAGAAACATGAAATTATGGTAGCTCCAGGTAATATTTCTATTAAAATAACAGTAGAATTGTATGTCCCTTTAAGTTTCCTTTAATTCTTCACAAATAAGGCTACCATAGATAATGCATTTTGAAAATAAGTATATGAAAATATAACCATATATTCACCATGTCACCAGATGTGTTAGGACTTTAATGTACAGAGTTTATAGCATTCAGGCTTGGCAACAACCAGACAAGTCTAGATCTGGTTAATGTTCTGGTTTCTGTGTGTTTTCTCAAAGGAAAACCAGACAAATATATATATATATATATATCGAGCAGTGTGGCTGTATGTATAGCATTAAAGGCAGCAAATCCATTTTAGGTCCAAACAGATGCAAAAACTTTTTTTTTTTCTAAAACTTATTTTTCACTTGGTCTGTTGTCATGACTTCCCAGCCACAGGTGGGATTTGTGTCACAGATCTGCAGCATTAGCACCAATGTAGTAACTGTGATATACTTATTTTCCTTGAAAAAAGCAGGGAATATAGCAGCCTGTTTCTCACTCATGTTAAATACAAATACATGTTAATTTCGTAGCTGTGTCTCTAAAATAGCCAAGACCAGATGAGCTGTGGTGAAGCTGTGGTCAATTACCAGCACAAGGTGAATCAGGCCAAGTGGCAGTGAGTGGTTGGGGCGGAGATCCTAACGCATGCTCTAGCTAATTGAGAGACAAATAGCAAGCAGGATTTTGGCAAAAATAACCCATGAAGGCACGGAGAGCAGAAAGGAAGCTTCAGGCATCTCCTCGGCATGGCCACCGGGAGGACGTGAGCTCTCAGCTCGGAATGACAGACAGCCTTGGCTGGGGCAGTCCTGTGGCGCTGATGTCACAGCAAGTGTAGTGTGGAGGTACTGCACTAGGCGTGCATCACCTCGCCTCACTGGAATTGTTTATAATGCTGCTGCGACAGCAGTATGTGTGAAAGAAACCTGGCACTGTCATTAAGTGTTAACATTCGTCATCAGCTGATACTAAGATTAAAATTTTAGTTTAGTTGCTGTTTTAGAGTATAAACCTAATGCATTTTTTAAATCGTGGTTTTTTACTCATTGATTTAAACTGATGTACTTGATTCTTATTTTGCTTTTGCTCTTCGCTTATTTTTTAGAGGTGACTTTTTGACTAGTAACTATTAAAGCATGTTGACTTGAAAATAAGTGGTATAAAATGTGAAGCTTTTTTTACTAACAGGGAGATTAGTTGTTCAAAGGCTTGATTGTATTTGCTGTGTGCAGTTTTGGGCCCCTCACTGCAAGAAGGACATTGAGGTGCTGGAGCGTGTCCAGAGAAGGGCAACGAAGCTGGTGAAGGGGCTGGGGAACAGGTCTGGTGAGGAGCGGCTGAGGGACCTGGGGTTGTTTAGTCTGGAGAAGAGGAGGCTGAGGGGAGACCTCATCGCTACAGCTACCTGAAAGAAGGTTGTATCAGGGTGGGGGATAAGTCTCTTCTCCTGGGTAACAAGCGATAGGACAAGTGGAAATGGCCTCAAGTTGTGCCAGGGGAGGTTTAGATTGGGCATGAGGAAAAATTTCTTTACCGAAAGAGTGGTCAAACACTGGAACAGGCTGCCCAGGGAAGTGGTGGGGTCACTGTCCGTGGAGGTGTTAAAAAACCTGTTGATGTAGCACTTCAGGACATGGTTTAGTGGGCATGGTGGTGTTGGGTCGACAGTTGGGCTTGATGGTCTCATGAGGTCTGTTCCAACCTAATGATTCTATGATTCTATTTTACTGTAACAGAAGGTGGGAAATGAACCACCTGTGATTTATATCAAGTTGCTTTTGGATGAAAGTGACAATGCAGGAGTGCAGCTTCTTGACTCTCCAAAGCAGATATGACCCTACTAAATTCACTGGATACTTTCACTTAAAATAGATAATATGTTAAACAGCTATCCAACTGAATTGTTTCCAAAACTTCCTAGGGCTTTTAGAATTAGTAGGCAAAGTCTGGCATGCTTAGAATTTATTCATAGTAGAAGTCTATTCAAATCTTTTTTTTCACATCTAAATGGGGTTCTCAAGTTTGAATAATCTAGTTAGTGAACTGAAAGATATTCCCTGCACCTGCAGAAGAGGCCAAAAGGTTTTTCTTATAACAAGTGCTAGCTTCTAGGTGCTTATCTTGTGACTTTTTTCACCTTGTTTAAATATCTTTACAGCTGCTTGAAAGCAAATCTACTGCTTACTAAAGTAGTTTTAATATGGTATAGTTAAGCATTATGACACAAGATTTTTTTTTTTATCTGTAATCTCAGATTTTTGTACAAAGTGCTTACATTTTCTATACACTTTTTATATAAATGCCCTTGCTTTTGCTTATGTTTTATAAACAAAGTTGGAGAGGAATAGATGAAGAAAGAGTACTTATCAGGAAATAAGATAAAATATTTTAACTGAACATTTTTATATCCTTTTTTGCAGATAAGAACTATCTCCTGATCGTTATTCAGAACCTTTGCGAATAGTCCTACTATGGCATTACTTTTAGAGACAGCGATGTAGTTCTACTAATATTACTTGTTGATATTTAATATCAAACATAGCATTAAGTAATTTTACATAAAGTGTAACTGTCATGACTGAAATGTTGCCAATTTAAAGTTCTCAGCTGTAGCTGTCTCAATTTCTCTTTGAGTAAATCATAATGCATATATCAAAATATTGTATGTTTATCTTGATCCTCAGAAGAGCAATAATAAAGCAAAATGCTTAAACCCTCTTTAATGTTCAAGTTATTCTTGCAATTAAATAATTTTCTTTACACTTCTACCATTATGTTGGAGTAGAAATCCTACCTCATGGGAAGCCGTAGATCATGTGTATGCACACATCTATAAATGTGTCCCTGTGAACTAGAGCAACCACAGTTACACAAACCAAAGAATACGAGTGTAGTTCATGTCAGTAACGATGGACTGGATATTGTCCTGCCTTTAACTCCTGGGGTTTAAGTTTTCTAAGGGAAGAAAAGTGAAACTGTCTTTTATTATTTTCCAGTTTCTACAGATGGAAGCAATAGCTTCATTTACTATTTTCAGCACTGGGAATTTCAAACAGACAAAGTTGAGCCTGTGCTTTAATGTAGAGCTACTGTTAGTTTGTTAGTAATGGTAAACATTGCTTTTTGATAGCTATGGTGCTACTTGATAACTACTTAAGCCTTTCGATCCAATACACAAGCCGCACTCCTTTGTGATACAGGACAACATGCAGGTTAAAGCTCAGGATGTTTCCCAAATCGGGTCCATGTCTACAGAGTAGCACCAGAGATCAGGTACGTATTGTTGAGCACCTTTAAAACAGATGCCCTGATAAGAGGCCGCTGTAGGGTACAGCTACCTACCAATCTGTTCTGTTCGGAAGTCACGCTACGTCAGCGCCTTGGGATCAGCCTCGTGGCTGATGTGCCCTCCCGGCTGTGGGAGGGCAGTACGGAACTGGGCGCAGCACCCCTGTTCTGCCCACACTGTGTGCCTCGGGTGCGGGCAAGCACGGCTACAGGCTTTGCCTCCTCGTGATCCCAAAGTCATGCCAAGCTTTGCACTTGAGCACATGTGGAGACAGTGTGAAAGTGCAGGGAGCTTGAGCTGACCCTGCGCTTGAAAAAATATCCAGTCATACTTGTACTGCAACTCGTCTCCGCTTCCGTAGGTTATATATGAATTTTGTCAATTGTTTAAACTTTAAAACTTCAGATTGCCTCCAGTTGGTCACAAGAAGGTTTCTTTTCTAGATGTAGGAAGGAAGAGCAACAAATGTGTGTTTTGGCTACAAGGGTGAAAGGAAAAATGAATCTGTTGAATACTGCTCAGGGATCTTTGTAGTACACCATATGAATTGTGGTTGCGGTTATGAAACGGATAAATCACCGAATGTCTCGGTGGGTACGGAGTCAGCAATTTGCCATTAGGACTACATTACGTATCACTCAAAACTTACACAAAGGTGAGTATCAAAGCCTGGTGGTACTTCTTTAAAATCTGAGCCTGTGCTCCAACTTTGCTGAATAGCTTGGAAAGGCTGTATTTCACTGAAAAATCTGGGAGCGTTCGTCCTCCTCCTGGCAGCTGAAGGCATCTGAGCGTTGAGGTCTCAAAGGCTAACAGACAGATTCCACACCCAGGCGGTGGGTGCTGGGGACCACAGAAGATTCAGTGCTGCTGCGAGTTGAGAGGAAGCGAACCCGAAGGCGCAGAGGCCCAGAGCGGTGGCAGTGAAGCGCAGCAATCCGGCTGGGCAGGGCCATTCACAGCGTTGAGGATGTGTAAATCAACCAGACACTAGTGGTGGCGCTTACTGACATCAGTGCTGTGCCAGAAGAATTTCCTTAACTGGAGGGGTTTTTTAATTGTGCACTGGAAAACAACCGTTTTAAGTTGTTTGTAATAAACCAATATATTGACATGTGGCAACGCTTTAAAAAACCTACGTTTTTCTTTGTTACTTTGTCTGCTTCGGTTGTGGTAATTTTAAAAATCCAACCTATTTATTGCTGTGCATTAGTGAACATTTTTTCTAATATCCTAGCATGTCAAACACCTACCGACTCAAAGCCCAGATTTTTCATTTCAGCACATACACAAAACTATTGCTGAATTCCAACTATTAACGTGTATTTGGGGCTAATAGTTTTGTTTCTGTAGTTTTCTCTAACAGAATTAAATTCCGTGGAGGTTTCACTGTGTAAGTCCAGAAAACTGCCAAAATTACAGTCCCTGTTACACTTTTCTATTGTCAAAAAGAATATTGGTGTTGCAATTTCCAGCATCATTGAAAAATGTCCTTCAGCCCAAAGAACACAGTCGTGCATTGCAAAGAGGAAAGCTTAGTGTCTGGCAACGTACTTCCACTTTTGTCTTTCTGATGCATGTGTTAGTTCCCTCTACAGACTTAAATCCAATATTTATTAAGCAGCTGATGATTGCTGTAGCTTGATAAAGCACTCAAAAAGACACTTAAGCCAAATCACTAAAATTAAACACATGCTAAATCATTTTGCTGAAAAGTGGTTTTATGTGGAAAAATGGCCTTAAGCAGATGCCTGTAGTTCTCCAAGTGTCAAATACTGCTCACAGATTAGTTTCTTTCCCTGTTCCTGTGAGAGGCATAGATGCAGATAAAAGGGCAAAGTTTGGTCCATTTAGAATGATGTGGGTAGGAACGAACGCTATGCAAACACACGGGCTGAGCCGTGCTTCTGCCAGCCACCCTTTACCAGGGCAGTCTCTATCGGGTTTCCTTGAAAGCACTATAGTACTTTACAATTTTGGCAACATCTTGACCAGGGAGCATGAATTGAAATATTCCGTTTCATTCCCTGATAGTTTGTTCATATTTTCTGTTAGCAAAAGCAAGCTGAACACGTGTAAACTTTTCATTTAGGTCTTTCAGTAGGAAACAGAAGTAACAATAGTTAAGTTTAACAGCCCTAGGGGAAATCCCTCATCAGCACATTGCTCTGAACGAAGCTGGGGCATTGAAAGGGATAGGAATCGTCCAGACAAAATACAGGGGAGTAAATTTTTATGTTATCTGAGCACCACAAAAGTGTTACAGACGAAGCTGGGGCATTGAAAGGGATAGGAATCATCCAGACAAAATACAGGGGAGTAAACTTTTAAGTTATCTGAGCACCACAAAAGTGTTACACCAAGTCATTTAAGCTGTCATTTATATGAACCAGCAGAGATTTTACTAGTTCACAATCAACTGGGGGGAGGTTGAGGAAAAAAGTAGCATGAAAGAGATTAATTTCGTAGATGATCATTTTGTCAAGGGAATGTTAAGAATGTCAAGAATGGCTGTTGTTCATTGAAAGGCAGCACTTGGGTTGAATTGTAACATGCCAGTTAGGCAATCAGCCAAGGAATAAATTATGTCAGTACCATGCATTTGGGGTCCTCAAACTAAAATAGGAAGCTCTCGGAGAGGCTCCCACTTTCAAATTAAAGTACTTTGGATTTTCCTTAACATATAATTTTTCAAAATGCATGGTCCCTCATGAGACAACAGCTTGGGCCAGCTGATTCAATCAAGGCAGTTGTTCCTTCTGCATTTTACTCATCTGCCAATTCAATACTTTTAAATATTTCATTTATTGCATTTGGTAGTCTGGTATTCTATGAAGTTACCTGGGGTTTTAGCCATATGTTTATCATTTAGTCCACATGACATAATGCATATAGAAGTATCAAAGGGTGTATTTTCCAGTTATACTTTCAGCTTAACTCTATATGTAGATCTGTGGTCTTCTGGTCTTCTGATTGTAAGTTATTTGACTGAATATAACTACGGGATGCAATGAGAGTGATTCACAAGCTGTGCAACTGATAAAGCATTTGTAAGACAATGAACTGCTAACTACTTGTTACTTGCACAGACTTGTGGGAATTTATGTATTTGTATTTTGTCAGGTCTGGTAAGGTCTTTTTTGTGACAGGATTCTGTGAAGGGAGAGTGATGGTGAGGAAGGTGGTATTAAATACTACGTCAACATGGTCTGAAGTGGACAGTGTTCATTAAGGATGTTCACAGTTCATCTGGGAAGCACCAAGATGTTAAATATGGAATTCTCCTACTGCCCATGAATGAATTATCAGACTGTGTACTTTGTCATATATTAATTGTACTTGACAAAATAATTCCAGTGAGAAGTTCCTCAGATTTACTGATGACACAAGGCTTTGTACACAGCAGTATTATATATATGATGGGCATATATACATGTATATATGTATACAGAGCATGTATATATAAGTACTGTTAACTTCTTGAGAGGTGTTTGTTGCACCACACTGGATTCTCTGGAGAAACTATCTGATTGTAGGTGTCAATAATAGTGAATCTGAAAAGGGCAGAGAAGTAAAATATCACAATCATCTGAAAAATGCCATTAAGAATTAATATGCTTTTCAGGAGTTATTCAGTTCATTTTGGAATTAAACAGTGACAGCAGCACTTTCAATAACAGAGGGTTCCCCTAGCAAAAGGAATCAATCCCAGCTCCACTGTCAGCTCAGCAGGACACAAATTCTGGGGTGGGCCTGCAGAAGATGCAACACTTTTCCTAAATAAACTGATGTCATCCTTTTAATTATGTTTTAATTATTAAGTTACAATCTGGAGACAGCAAGATAATTCCCCTATTGATTTTTCAAATCTCTGGCAGCTAAATTAGAGTAGCCAGGAGAATTTCAAGTTTGTGTTCCCTTTGCCTGGCACCTGAACAAATTAAATCTCTCAGTTTGTAGAAAAATTAGGTCATAACGATGAGGTTCACTGCAGGACTTCACAGTATCCATGGGAGAAAGGAAGACTGATGCTTGGAGAGAAAGCCTAGAATGTCCTAAGTTAATTAAGCGTAACAGCAGAGGTACATAATATATCTCTCCAGATTGTGGTACTGATTTGAATCTCTCTGAATTTCAGGACATTCACATTTAGGGACGCAGTAGGACTAGAAACA